TAGTGATATATATTGAGATGTATTGGCGTGAATACGAATTTCTAAAAACAAGTTTGTTCGCCACTGTTGCTTTGTTTGAAATGTGCTCTGTGGGACTATTTCGAAAATCAGTTCTTATCTACAGAGAAATAATGAAAGTTAAATGCACTACTCGTACGATGATGGGGTTAATTATAAGAAGAAGGTTTTAGAAACAGTTAGGCTTGAGAAATGAGATCAACATGCTTAATTTGAGAGCGGATGGAGACACCGTATTTTTCCTGCTCCCAAAACCTGCTTCTGGTAAAAACCTGAAGCAGATGAATAGCACTTTATTTCCTGCGAAGAGAAACTTTCACTGTTGCACAGGCTGCTTGATGAACTTGCTGAACTTTGAATCTTGTTCCGTATTAAATTGCTGATACGTGATTCTTAGTCTGTGAAGGTAACATAGCTCTCGTGCAGTCGTCTAATCGGTTTCTACTGACTTGTTGGTAGCTCATTGATTAAATCGTGCTTCGTCAGTCGAGGCGATTGGAGTAATCCCATCTACACCCGAAGTATGAAAATCGGTTTGAACACATACCGACGTTTCTATCGTTTCTTTCCTTCCGTCGAAGTGATTTCTCTCAAGAAATCCCTTTGAATTCATGTTCAAATATTGTTCACTTGATTATACTGAATTTACATCATTCACGTCTGCGTAAAATTATTTATATAATCATAATTCTGTTCATAATTTGTCAAACGATTAAGTTATGTCACATTGAATTTAGAGTTCTGAAATAGTTTTATCACAAGTGGTAGTGAACTGTGTTTAGCGTGGACGGTTTAATTTGACAATAAGACGTTTTGCACTTCAAACTCCTGAGACTGCGGAAAGTTTCTCCTTCGATCCATTGCATCATATATTGACATACTTCTTTCGTTCAACTGATTGCCAACACAGGCAGTGACAACTTCATTCTTTACAACCTTCAAGAGTCACACTTTGAAATTAAATAATTGAGGAATTCATTAGTATAAAGAGCTTGAGGTCAAAGTCATGCCTGGAGTGTGACATGGTTCGAAATATAGTGATGTTGTGGTCCCGGGAGACGATAGCCTTGTATTCCCTTGTTAAACTTTCTCTCGTTAACTCGTATATAGGATATTCTCTTCTCCCTTATGTCTGTTTCACTCATCCTGTAGTTACCACTAAATTATAGAGGAACTTCAGCACATGTTTGACTCACACGTTTTTCTGATCTAATCTACCAACCTACCGAACTAAAAATTCTTATTTAAAGTAGAATCAATGGGAAATAATATTGTTGCAATTTACAATTATTTTTGTGTATCCCTACTTCTTCAAAGTATCCACCAATTAGAATCGATGCAGTTGAATAATGTGTCATTCTCATGGGTGCATGCTGTTCCTGGGACCCATAAGTCAAATTGATAGACCATATCCTTTTCGATGCTTCGTTGTATATTTTTTATTCAATTCACTTAAAGATTAATTCTGGCTCGAAGAGACAAACGTGGGTGGCGTGGAAGAAAAATATCAATAAATATCCATCCTTTAGTTGATTCCAATTTTAGTAAAAAGCAGACATTCTTGCTAATATTATGAAGTCAAAGTCAAAGTTTTATTATGGGAATACTTACAAGAGGTTGCTATCGTTGTCCCATATGGTTGAGTACAAATGCATCGATTTACGGTTCACAGAACAATGAGAAATGCCACGAAATTTCTTTGTTTCGTACACTGCTCCGGATGTCGAAATTTAAGACTTATCACAGTTCCATCCAGTTTGTGCTAGAAAGAATCAATTGTGGTCACAGAAACAACGTGAGGTAGTAGGTAATTCCAAATGCTGCACCCTCTGTAGGTAAATAAATGATACAGGCATTCTAATCGACATTCTTGGAGCACTAATGAGTGCCCGTGAGATGAGTGTTGGGCGACAAGGCGAACGGTGAACGACATGGAATGGAACAATCGGACGAGTGATCGATATCGCGAATCATGTCATGGATTTAAGACATTTCCTTTACCTTACTCAATTTTTCGATACAAGCAACGAGGTTCAGAGCAGGAAACTTCACTTTAATAACTTGATTCAGCTTCAGTCAGAAGACCGAACATCGGCACATTATTCGGGTAGTTTACAGTCTACAGGTTTTAAATATTACCATTTTTTCAGTTTCACTTTCTTTTATTGAATATACAAAGATACAACTTTCAGATTGGGGAAGTGGTCAATCAAAGGGCTGCCATACCACAAACAATGAGGAGAGTCATGCAGTAATGCTACAACATTAATAACACCAGAAAAAATACCATCCAGTATGCAACTGGATATTAACGGCACATGGAGCAAAGCTCTACTACGTAGTCAGAATTGCATTTTAAATAGTACGTTTCAATTATTGAAGTGTATCTGGTGCATAATATATGATGGTTTTATCATATTCACATAGTGAAAATGATAACCAAACAGTCCGTTTTTTATAACAATGTATGACAAAATTGATGTGTCACAGACCACAGAAAACCATGACAGCATCGAACAACCCGATGAATATCCATCTCATCAACTTACATTCTAATCTACGTGCCAGAGGTTCTTTGTCCAATTCTCAAACCACTTGAGCTCTTATCTGCTGGAAACAAGTTAAGTGAAATGTATGCGGAATCATCATACTATTCTCAACTGAATAATGCACTAGGCTTTGTGATTTTGAGCACCGAGTTGGAACAGGCTTTACCGTTCAACTGAAACATACTTCATCTCTCCTAACAAACTTAATTTCCACATTCGAAAGCGAATGTAGCGCAATAGCACAGCAATACTGTGCGGCAGCGAGACACGTTTTTTGCATTGAATTTTGAACGATAAGATTGTTTTTCCACCCAAATCCGTGATGAACAAGACGCGCTGTAGTTTTGGTCCGACTTCGAATACCATCAAAAATAGAATGTAAATTATTTCATCACTAAAGGTGAGTTTGTCACTGATTGTCTGATGATAGTTAATCCATATTGGAGTAATACAAAGAGAGCTGTCAACAGGAAGATTGCTTGGATTGCTGTATATCTCAGGAGCAGGGTGCTGTCAAACAAAGAATGTCCGGGAACTTACCTGTTTGCTGCTATCGAATCTTGACGACTTGACGATCATAGCCGATTCCTAGCATTATTATTCTCTGAAAGGTGTATGTTGTCTGTTAGTTCCTAGGCACTAACATTCACTTCTGCTTTCTTGATTGAACCTATCGATGCGATCATATACCTCACCAAAAGGGGGGTGCAAATCAAGAAAAAAATCCAGATCATCCTCAAAGTAAGATTATGATAGTTGGTCTGAGGAATACGACAATCTTCCACAAGAAGTAGTTAGAAAAATCGGAATGCAACAGCTATCGTTTCCTGTCTAGCTGGAGGATGCATGCTAACAGTTGTGCATTCAATAATTACGGTTTTGTGACGTGGATAATATTAGTTATTATTATAATTTTTATGTTCCAAGACTCCCTTCCGGTTTGATCCAAAAGTTTTTGATCTGCGTCAACCAGTCAACACTGTGTTTAACTGATTATCACTTTTCTCGCAAATTGTGCGACCTTCTTGAATGCCAGTTTCACTTTACTCATACTTGGTCACATATATCAGCATAAGAGAACCATAGTTTTTAGTAAGAATGAAGCATTCCAAGCCTCATTTTCTGTTTTCATTCGACTATATGTAATGCACTATAGCTCTTCAGTTTTTAAACTGGTAGTTTAAAAAATGACAGATTTACCAGAACTGAAGTACTCAGCACAGAGTTATCTCAATGGTCTATGAACTATATTGATGAAATGATTCAGTTTGGCTCAGTTGGATGCACTAAAAGCTTGGAACTGCAACCGAATTAGACCGGATGAAACCGCATTCGTCTTGTGTAGGCCTTGACTCCGCGCCTCAGCTGACTTCCCTCGCCTTAGGGAACATTATAAATGTCAATAATCTGAAAAATTTCTGAATAAAAAATTCTCCATCAGAAATAAATTCTGCATCATTTCAAAAACACCTTCTCTCCAAAAATACCAACTACTTTCGCATCAGGATAATTGGTTTTCGGGTGCCTCATCTATGTTCACAATACGTGATTGTTTCCATTTTCTATGCTTACACTTTTTGTTGATTCAATAGATGGCTTCGATTTGGACTATATCAAACTGGCAGGTTTACCCGGACAACGAATGCACTGATCTCAAAGTCGTCCAGTGTGTTTACAATTCCATTCGACAGGGACCGTTTAATGATCTTTCTTGGGACAAAAACAGTAACCTATGCAAATGAATATCGGACATACACAATCAAAAAATCAATAATACCGCGTCCGAATTTTGTTATCTCTCCAATTCGGCATTTAGGTCGCTTTCGTTGGACGTATCCCAGAAGCACATAAGTGCATAGGCAGATACATGCACATTCACACACACGCGCACACACACACTAACCAACCGGCCGGGTATCGAGCGAGGTCGGTTGAAGCCTACCGTGCTGCATCATTGGTGTGTACGTCAGAAAACGCCTTTCACATGTTTAGGCACATATTCTTTCGTATCGATCGACGTGATCGTGGGCGTTTGGGATGCCCAGTTTGTGCATCCCGCCACTATTGCACCGTAAGTTCGGGCAATCAGTTCCAAATTAGATTATCGGAAAAGAAAGGAAGTGCACTGTGTTCGATCCATGCCGACCGAAGGAAAGACAGAAGCCTATGGGGGACAAGTTGGGCAGGTCTGATTGGTTGACAGCGAAGAAGTAATACCATTTCCCATAGAAGGCTAGAATAAACTACCTATCCGAACAGCAGATAGATAGATACCACGGACAACGGGGACAAAAGCGTGAACCGGACACACACACCTACACACACCGGGTGTTTGTATTGCCTGAAACTGATTTTAAGGCATCACTTCCTCCTCGAGATCAGTCTCGTTTGTGTATCCGCAGCCTAATCAACTCCGTACACTAAACCAGCAAAATGGGTGAAGAAGTAAGTCTTCGTCTTCACAACGTTGCTCTTGTGCTATGTCACTAAGTCCGATCTTAACACCAGCTTCATGTGTTATATATTAACCAGAGTCAATGAAAATTGTATTCAGCCAAATTGGACTTGTGCAATCTTCGCTTGGAAAATAGAAGGATTTCTTTCTTCTTGTTAGAAGTTTATACCTTTGAAGATCCACTTATTGTGCGGGGAATATGATTATCTGTCGCCTATTTTTAGTCATATGTTGCAATGCGTAACTAAGATTGATTTATCTATGCATAAGATGTAGCAAAGAGAAACATTAAGCGAACCAACCTTGTCGATTGAATGTATATGAAATTCCGATATAGATTCGTCTCGGCTCTGTACTTTGCCATCAGGAGACGATGTACTGATGATGCACACTTCAACTTATTCATAAGCAACTAGGTAGTATTTTAAACAGTGGTGTGGTTGAAACGGTTACATTTAGGCTGCCCTTCCCTCTGCAAGTGTTCTTTTTCGCATTCAAACACACCCTTGTTATGATTGTCATGTTACTCTAACTATTATTATTATTATTATTATTATTATTATTCGATTTCGTACATTCCAAGTCTGTCGAATAAGTCCAACTCGTTCTGGCACAATCAAACCGAGATTTTGTGTACTGTTTTGTTCTTATGCATCGATAAGAATATTCTGCGATATTGTTTTTCATCTTTTTAGCCTGTAAAACGCTTGCTCCTATAGACATTTGAGGCAGAGCAATTCGAACTGTCCCAGTTTCAACTTTCACCTGTTTTTTGTGTTCGTGCTTGTGTTTGTCCGTCCATCTATCTGTTTGTTTGTATGCTTGTCTGTGTGTTGTGTATGTACCCGCGTGTTTGTTTGCTCGGTGTAGACTCCAGCTGCGACCGATGCCGCAGCGGCCGCTGCCGCCTCAGGTGCGACCTCACCACCTCCACCGGCTGAAGTAAGTGTTTGAGTGTATATATATATATATATATATATATATATGTGTGTGTGTGTATGCGTGCCTCATGTTGATGGCATAAATGTGTAGCATGTAGCCAACATGTTTCCCAGACCTATTTTCAGAAAATAATCTGCCGCCGTCCTATCAATTTACTCCAACTCCAACTTTGATGTGAATCACACATAATCCGATAACTTTGTCACACTATACACAAATTTGTGTATACGATTCTAGCCCGGCATTATTCGGGAAACCCACAGTCGATTCCACTGTTTCCTGTCCCTGCATGAATATTGAAGAAATCAAATGGAGACCAGTGAGAGTCGTTTCGATTGCAGCCGTTTCGGGTTTATCTGATAAACTGCGGCCTGCACATCAGTGAACCTGATACTAAAGACATTATTTCAAACCCCTCTCCACACTGCAGCCTCGAATGAAACACACACACACACACACACGCACAACCCCCTCCCCCCCGCGCCAACCCTGAGAGTACGTATCCATGTGTGCGTGCGGCCCTAAAACTGTCGTCAGCCTGCCTGATTATTTAAAGCCCATTTCTATTTTCGAATGGAAGATCACTACATCTCACTTAACTCAAATCCGAATACCCTAAACTTGTAACCGATGCCCAACGTGTGCCGATCCTTGGTGCACACACCGACAGACGTAAAAGTGATTAGGTTAAACGCAGACTGACTGCCAGTGTTTCGGTTTCCTTTGTAGAAAGAGAAGAAGGAAAAGAAGGAAAAGAAGGAAAAGAAAGAGAAGAAGAGCGATGATGCTGGTGATGCTCCTGCCGAGGAGAAGAAGGAGAGCAGCAGCGGAGGTGGAAAACGAGCGCAACGAGCAACCTCCAATGTGTTTGGCATGTTCCCGCAAAACCAGATCCAGGAATTCAAAGAGGTTGGTTTGGACTGAATTGTGAGACATTTTCTCCTTCTCTCGCTCGCTCGCTCTTTAGGCCTTCACACTGATCGATCAGAATCGTGACGGTTTCATTGATATTGAGGATTTGAAAGACATGTACGCTTCTCTTGGTCGCACACCAAGTGATGCAGAACTGAAGGAAATGTTGGACGAATCGCCTGGTCCTCTGAATTTTACCATGTTCATCAACTTGTTCGGGGAAAAGTTGAACGGTACGTGTACACATACTCATTCACTCATATGCGCGCGCACACACACGAGTATACACACATACAACTCAACACCATTTATGTCGTATTTAAACAGATCTGCTAGATTGATGAATCTATTGATCTCATCATCTAATTCCAGGTACGGATCCGGAAGATGCCCTTCGAAATGCGTTCGCCATGTTCGATCCAGGGAACAAGCGATACTTGGAGGAAGAATAGTAAGCTTTCACCTTTTGTCAGAAAACTAATATGCTTATTTTTTTTACCTCGTAGCATCAAAGATCTTCTTCAGAACATGGGTGACAACTTTTCCGCAGAAGAGGTGAGTGCGTTTTCCCCTTCTTTTTCAGCTTTTTTACTTCAACGTACTAATCGACTGCCTTTTGTTAGATCCATATTTTCTAGAAACCCGTGAATGAGTGCAACACTTGATTCCCCGTTTACTCGCTCTACCTGTCTTTCAACAGATTAGACAAACCTGGAAAGAAGCACCAATCAAAGAAGGCAAATTGGATTACGATCAGTTTGTCACACTGATCAAGCGCGGCAACCAAGACATTTAGATAGTCGGGATAGCTTCCTCCACCGCCCCCCCCTCCCTTCCCACATTCAACTCCTGTTCCACCCAAACCCAATTCCGTTCTTCTGCCCCATTGTTTTGTCCAGTCCATCTTTCCATCTTGGTTCGCGTCTGTCCGTGCGGGTTCTATTGGGTCAACAGACAGTCACATTGAGTTTCAACTGCGCGATACACTCACCCAACTTGACCGTATATTTTCGTGATTATCAAAATACTAATATCAAATTATGCTCTCTATTCACATTGACTTCCGTCTCTCTGTTCTTCTATCTTTTAGTTTGAATTCGGTCTGTGGCGTGCTTGCGTGCGTGGGTGTGTGTTTAAGTATGAACGTGCATGCATGAATGAGGTTGACAATTGAATCCATTGTGGTTGGATAACTGTGTAATGAGTACCTCTTCATGCAGATGTAGAACCACGGAACTACGTATGCGTGCTTGTGCGCGTATGCGTAACCGTGCCCCAGTTGACCTTATGATCTGAGTTTGCTGTTGGTCTCGCGAACTTTCTGCCACGAAACTTACGTTGGTCTGTACGTTAAACTGTTTTCTTCACAAGTGTAATACCATAGTTACAACATGGATACTCTTGTGCCATTCACACATTCTATTTTTCTGATTTCTCTGCTTGTGCGAATCCATCGTCGGTTTAACGAAGACCTCTGAGTTTTCGTGTAAGAACAGATTGATTGAGTGAGAGACAGTGAGAGATAGGAAAACACTGATGATTTGAGCCTGTGTTGGGCTTTCTTGTCGGTGTTCTTATGTAACCGCGGTTGCCGCATTTGACTATCTGATATTCACGAACCTAAACAGATTAATCAAATTACAGTTACGCAATTTGTCCTTCATTTGGATCATTGTTCGCCCATTCCTTTTTCATTACTTGCATGCATGTAGCGGCGATATTTATTACACCCATTTTAGTGTGCATTTGACCGTAAGTACAGATACGCGGACCGTTCCAACGTTTTCTGCCCCCCCCCCCTCCTCCGCCGATCTTTCTTCGTCGCCTTTCACTTGTGATGTTTGTTTGACACGTCATTACTGTCGGAACAGTAAACTCTATCTTCTCCGATTCATGTATCAAGCTGAACAACATGTTTGGGGGCATTCCACTCTGTACCCGTGATCCGTGCGA